TATGTTTAAATCTGCTCCTCTTCCACGAGTGGTTGGACTGAGGATGGAGGGCAGTCTCAGGGCAGGGAATGTCAAACGCGTTGGCCCATAGGTGATTTGCACTTTTCCCCTATAAAAACTCCCATCTTATGCCAGGTTTTGCCAAGGTAGTACAGACTGTGGGGCATTGGTCCCTGCGTGAGGATGCTCTGTTTGTACCATAAATGACAACATGGTCAAAAGGTCTTGCTCCAGACAGCAGAGGAGAGGGCCCAGGCTTAGCCACATGGGCCTGTCAGCCCTATGACCCAACAACCTGTAGCTGGGCTGCAGCTGCGAGTGGTGGAGAAAAAGATGAAAGATGGAAAAGTGTATTCCCTAGACCTGAGTCTCCTTGGAAATCACTGATAGTCAAGGTAAAAAATATATATATATGAGCCTACTCCACTTTCAGCTCTGCACAAAACAAGAAGTGTTGTTGAGACTCTGCCTTGGAAGCTCTCTCCCCGTCGGCGCTGGGCTCCTGCAGAGTGTGCCAAAGCTGATGGTGCCCAGGAGGCTCCTTTACACACTGTAGCACTAGGGCTGGTGAGGCCCCTCTGGCCTCCCTAAGACATCCCAGAGCCCTGGGGCTCTCAGGGCATGTAAAGCTCCCAGAAGGCACAGAAAGTAATGTTTGCAGAGTCGCTGGCCACTGGCTCCTTAAATCTCCTTGGAGGTCTCGAGTGGGGCAGAGTGCATTTGAGGTCTCAGTCCCTGGTTGTCCTGTAACAGACGTAGGAGGAATAGGGCTCCGCAGAGAATTCCAAGAGCTCAGTTCTTGTCCTGTTCTGTGACTGTCAGCGTGTACACTGCACAAGGATGGAGGGGCCGCAGCAGTATCGCTGACATTCTAAAACGCCCCCTAAGCATGAGACTCCCAGTGCTCACTCCTGTCAGGCCAGAAAGGGTTGGCCACATGGAGGGAAGCTCCTACTTGTATGCAAGGCTCTGGTGACAGGCCTTGCCGCCCTGCAGACCTCCCCATTGACAGACCTGAGTCCTGCAAGATGCCTTCCCCCCAGCTCCTGGCCTTCCGGTCACACAGCAGGGATGGCCAACTGAGAAGAGGGCTCCATGCCACCTGCACCCAGCCTGCTGAGTAAAGGAGCACTTGGCACACACACCACGATACCAGCCATTGCCAAGAGCCTGCAGTATTTTATGAGCCTTAAAGATCTTGTTGTGCCAGTCCATTATGAATTATTGAATTAACACTGCATATTTATAGCAAATTCTTAATAGTTTAATAATTTATTCATCCCTTGTGGGTCCTTTGGTCTATTTCTTTTAACTCTTATGGAGAAGAGTCTTTTTGGAACACACTTCACTGGGCTAGTCCCTCGGGACTTGCAGGGTTCTAAGACAGCATCCCACACAGCCAGCTCAAGTTGAATGCAGACACACAGGTTGCGGTCCTACCTCCCACTACTCATGACCCTAACGGGAACAGAATCTTTACCCCGCAAGCAGGCTTCCTGTCAGAGCACACCCTGCACATGGGGGTGGCGGCCTGCATTCCCCAGTGGGTGCTGGAGCCCTATGCCCCATTCCTGCTCTCCAGAACTTGGTGATCAATGGAAACCAGGAGGAGTAAGCCATGTTTCCTGATACGCACTTGCAGGCTAGCAAACCCGGTCACCGAGGGGAGGCGTTAGGTAAGGAGACTTGCACAATCAAGACCTGGCTCCTTCTGGTGTGCACATCTCATAACCTGCTCATCCCCAAGGTCAGTGCTGCACAGACCGCCCCCCCCCCGGGAGACAGCAGGGTGCCACCCGAGGACCCAGCCCAGCCAGTGTCATCAACAGCAGCACCTCTCAGCTCCCCATCACTCCTCTGCACAGGCTATGCAGTGCTGGCCTGCAGTGTTCCTCCAGTGTCAAGGGCACTGTGCTGGGTACAGGGCAAATACAGCAGATATCCACTTGGCCTTGATCTTGATGGGGAACCTAGTGTGGGAAGCCAGGTGTGGGAGCTGGAGAAGTGCATGCAGTGCATAGAAAGCAAAGGAGAGGCAAGAGGCAAGCCACCACTGCTCGCCTGGGGCAGCACAAGCCCTTGCCTCCTCCCCCTTTGAACAATACTCCAGCTCCCAGGTTCCAAGTCCAGAAGGAATCGGATCTGGGTTGTTTTCTGTCCAGCTTAATTCTGGATTGAAAGCCCCTTGAGCCACATTTCCTGTGCATCTAGTCAGCCTCACTTCACTGTTCACTGTTCCCTAGGGATTCTCAGACAACGTGTTGTTCCAAGATGCAGTAGCAGTGGGCTCTAGCAGTGGCCACCTGGCTTCCGGTCATCAGATGGCCCAGCAAGCCTCTGACTGCTGCAAGGACCAGCAGTGCCATCTTGTGGGGATGCTCCAAGTTCTGCAGCCATCGGCTGTCAGACTGTGAAGAATGACATTGCCCAGACGTGTTCGCGTGCAGCTGAGTGAGACGGCTCCCTCTGCTCGCAGCCGTGCTAATTATTATTTTGATGTCCAGAAAATTAATAACCCAAGTAAATTAAGACTGAGTCAGGAAGATATTTCAAGAACCAAATGTGTCTGGAAAGGATTTGCTTTCCATCCACTTACTAGAAACATTTGTAAAACCACCCCAGGTGGGTATATGTTCCCATAAGCCCCATGCAGGCACAAAGCCACAGGTTCCAAGCAAAAACAAAAGAATAGTTGCAGAATTGTTTCTGGCTTGCCCCAGGGGGTCCAGGCTTTGCTGAGGGATGAGGGCACGAAGATTGCTGTTCCCAGGTGATGGCCAAGAGATCAGCTCCCCCTCAGGCCCTCCCTCCCTCTGTGCCGACAAAGCTAACCACAGGGGCCCCTGCCCGTGCCAGGCAGTCTCTGCTGCTGTCTGTGGCAGACATGAGTATGCAGTTCTGCTGAAGCATCACCCTCAGAGTGTGCTCTGGGTGCCTTCCCAAGCACCCAGCAGGCTCCTGACACCACCTGCGGTCTTACTCTTGGGCTGAGATGCCCTCGTTGAGCAGCTGCTGTCCTGGGCACATGGGGTTGGGGGCACTGCTGAGGGGGCCAGTGGTTATGCAGCCCCCAGTGTAGCCCACCCCATCCACCTGCTGGCCACAGGGCCTGCACTGAGGGTTCCCACGAGGAGCACACACTGCTGCTGCTGCCCCCTCCCTGACTGCACTCAAATGGCCCTGCAGGTCTCACGGTAGCATGGCATTCCTTATACTCATCTTGTGGGTGCAGCCAGAAGGGGACCTTCTTGGGAGCTGCGTAGAGTCAAAAAATGAAACCAAGGAGCCAGCTTTGTGGCTACCAGGTTAAGCCTCCAGCTGGGATGCCAGTATCCTGTAGAGGGGCACAGGTCTGAGTCGCAGCCCCTCTTTCCGATTCAGCTCCCTGCTAGAGCTCCTGGAGAAGCAGCAAAAAATGGCAAAATTGAGAAGTGTGTGTTTTAAATCCATTGCTGAGATTTGGAAAGCAGGGTAGGGCTGGAACTGTGTCTTCAGGAGGAGCATTGTCTCAGAGCCACCCAGAGCTGCAGATGCCCTGCCACGTCATGGTCAAGTCCTGAGTCCCCTCTCTCCACTAGGTTGGACTTTGCACCTGCAGCCCAGTCCCTGGACACGAAAGCAGCACCCTCAGCCAGGACTCTGCCTGCACACAGGCTGGTTCGGCAGGGTTTTCTGTATTTCTCTCAGGACTTCACTGGCCACAGGTTCCAAACAGAGGTGCTGGGGAACAGCAGTGCAGGGCAGAGGCTGAGGTCTCCACATCACCCTTTACTGGCACCAGATTAATAGGGCAGATGCACATTGCGTCGGCCATGCCCCAGAGGTCGGCTGGGACCAGAGCTCTCTGCTGAGACAGGCCCCCTGCTCCCTGCTGCTCAGTGCAGAATCAGCTCTGAGGGGAATGCCAAGTTCACACCTTTATACAGAGCCTGCTGCTCTATGGCTGAGCATGCCACATCCAAACCACATGCCCCATAGAATGAGCAGGCACTCTTCCCTGGAAGTACAGCCAACACATGGTCTTGGTGTGGCTACAGCTACTTCCTGGGCCAAGCCACTGTGGCAGCAACGGTGCAGCCTCCCCTGCCCCATGGCACCTGCCCCCTTAGCAGCCATGCGACCTGACAGCATACTGACAAGACAAGGTATCCACTTCAAGTTCCACCCAAAACCGGTTAACAAAGGTGGAAAGATAGTACTTTAATATTTTACTTCTTTTAATATTATTTTTAAATATTTAATGCTCATTTAACAGAAAAAAATTAATGTTCACTTCTTCAGGTTTTTAAAACTTTTAAAATTTATGTGAGGTTGGCCCGGCGCAGTGGCGCAAGTGGTTAAGGTCCTCGCCTTGCACGCCCGGGATCCCATATGGGCGCCGGTTCTATCCCGGCAGCCCCGCTTCCCATCCAGCTCCCTGCCTGTGGCCCGGGAAAGCAGTCGAGGATGGTCCAAAGCTTTGGGAACCTGCACCCACGTGGGAGACCTGGAAGAGGCTCCTGGCTTCGGATTGGCATAGCATCAGCCGTTGCGCTCACTTGGGGAGTGAATCATTGGATGGAAGATCTTCCTCTCTGTCTCTCCTCTCTGTATATCTGCCTTTCCAATAAAAAAATAATAAAAATAAACCTTTAAAAAAATTTATGTGATGCTCAGAGAGATCTCACATTCCCTTGTTGACCCCTCAGGTGCCCACAGTGGCCAGGGCAGGCCAGGCCATGGCTGGGGGCAGTGCAGGCCTGCATCCCAATGACTGCTGCCTCTCAGGCATGGTGGGAAGCTGGAGTTGGGAGTGAGGCCAAGAGCCAAGCCTAGGCACAGGCATCCCAAGTGCCTTCTGAACCACTGCATCAGGATGGGGGAAGAAGGTGCTCCCTGACACCTCTGCATGGCCACCCAAACCATCGCTGGTTTCTGCCTCAAACTCGTCGCCTGCCCGGGGCTGCACCACCTTCTGTGACCACCTCTGCTCAGCCCGCTTTTCCCCTCCTGTTTTGCAGCCCACCCAAGCCGACCGTGTTCATCTCCGGTGTCATTGCCCGGGTAAGAGTTCCCCAGTCTCTCTCTGAGCATCTGCAGGTGCATCAGTGCGTGTCTGCCCCACTCCTCCAGCTCTTGTTGAGCCGCATGGAGTAACCAGTCGCCCTGCCCCTCTGATCTGCAGCCCCAGGCTCTCCCCGTTGTCTCATTCCCATGGAGCACAGCTAGGGCTGTGGGAGATGACACGTAACACAGCAGAGAGCAGAGCTGTGGTTACAGTCCCTTCTTGCACTGCAGACCAAGCCAGGGGTCAGCACACTGCAGCGCACGGCTTGGAAGTTAACAAGTGACCTGTGAGCAAGTGTTGTGCAACATTAGTACCTGTGATCAAAGTCTTAGTGTCCCTATTTACATCCTGTCTGTGGCATTGTCACCCACAAACCTCTGGATTCAACTCAAATTTGTCACTTTCACCTCTCAAGAACCTCCCCTATCCCCCAGCACTGCCCACAGCACTCTCGCCATCAAAGTCCATGCCACCCACCCTGGGGCTTCTGAGCTTGGGACAGTCAGGCCCTCAGCCTAAGGTGTCTGAGGAAAATGGCACTGCCAGGAACAGCTCGCTATTGGATGTAATGTCTGCACTTGTGAGCACATCACAGGCCTGCCCCTGGGTTGAGGTCATTCCTTGACAAGTGAGCTCCATGCCAGCATGACACAGGGGCCAGGCCCAGCCCTGGTCACACTCCCACCATCCACAGGGGAGCCAGTGCATCCCTCCCCAGGAAACTGCAGGGCCCTTTCCTGAGATGCCCTGGGGCTAGATCTGGCACTTGGCTTCCAGCCCTGTCTCCTTCCCCTCCAACTCACAGAGAGGGCAGTGAATCTGAGCCTGGGTGTAGCTGTCTTGCCCCTAATTCAAATGATCATAACCACAGAGGTAGCATCAGAAAACCAGCAGCAGCAGCTGGAGGACCTGGTGCCTGGAGCAGATCCAGCAAACCTCCCCATCCTGCTGGTAGGTGAGCTCTGTACCCGCAGCTTCCCAGTTCTGATGGCTGCAGCCCCTTGGGTGGCTAGGCAACCCCTCCCATTCCCAGGCAACAGGCCCTGCCATCCCATTCCATCACTCACTCCTGGTCTCCTTGCAGGGTACTGGGTGGGACTTGGGCTCTGGGTTTACACACACACACGCTGAACAGCTCTGCGTTCCATATCTCCCACAGGGTGACAAAGACTTCCCCCCAGCGGCAGCACAGGTGGCTCACCAGAAGCCACACGCCTCCATGGACAAGCACTCATCACCAAGGACCCCGCATATCCAGCAGCCTCGCAAGTGAACCTGTGCCTGGATTCCACACCCACTACCCCGACCAACACTGCCCTAGCCCCCACCTGGCAGTCCAGGAAATCTACGACAAAGCCAGGCCCTTGCTCCTGCCTTTGCCTTAAATTTCTATATTGAAAACAAAAATGGTCCAAAGTTCCAACCCTGCTGAGAAGGTGCCCTGCTTCAATGTCACAGGGCTCACTCCAGGCCTATGATGAGCAAAAGTGGCCAAGACCTACATGTAGTCACTCGCCCCACACCTCTGGTTCTGCTGCAGCCCTCCCCTGGGGTCCCTTCCACCTGCTGTCAGCAAAGCCACAGAATGGCCAGGGCCAGAAAGGATGAGGTGAAGGTGGGACCCACACAATCCTGCTTTACAGTAAGAGGACAGTGAGGCCTTGGCACCCACAGGCAAGTAAGGCATCTGAGCGTTTACTAGGATGGCAGGTGTCATAAAGTAGGCATAGAGAACACCTTAAAAACAGCCGCGGTGATGCTGACACCTGCACCTTGGGGGAAAGTGGCATCAGCACAGGCAACACTGTGCTGAGAAGTGAAGCCTGGGGGCCGTGTGCTCAGAGCTGTGCTTCTGGCAGGAGAGCACGGTACGCCCCCTCCCGCCCAGGGACAGGGGCCCAACCCGAGCTCAGCACTGCTGTCGACTTCTGCAAGTGACCATCAAGCAGTTCTGGGGCAAGAAGCTGGCAAGACCAGATTAGAAAGCTGCCAGCCTGCCTAGGGAGCTGAAACACATATCCAATTAGAGCCACGAGACTGCTTGCCCACTAGTCTCTCCAGACTCCCCCATGCCCCAAAAGCGCACCTGCCTGCATCACCATCCCTGGCACCCATTGTATCATCCTCCCAGCTCTACACAGGTTCCCCCAGTTGTGACTCATGGTTGCCGCATGCCTGCTCTCCTAAAAAAGCAAAAGGCGCCTCTGGGCAGATATGAAAGGGTGCAACCTGACCACTCGGCTGCGGAAGACTCCAAGCCACTCAGCCCCCGCCCCATGCCAGTCTTTTCTAGTCTAACCAGGCCCAGTGCAGCCGCAAACCCTGGCACAGTGGTTTCCCATCTCAACAACCACAGGAAGCCGATGTACAACCCTCACATCCTTTTGTATTTCTTAGCAGCAGGAGTGTCGGTGTGAGCCATGCACAGCTTTTGGAGACCTGCTCATGGCCAGCAGTGGCAGCCACGGTACCTGCCACACAAGTGGCTTTTACCACACAGTCTCTGAAGCCAGTGACTAGGCAGAGCTCAGAGCAGGCACCCATGGTGGCCTGGGCAGACCATCTCCTGTCACCAGAAGCAACCTTAGTCCCCTGCCATTCTGCCACTGGAGGGAGTGCTGTTGCCTCCACAGGGGCGAACTCCGCGCTCTCTTAGCGAGATCTGATGTGCACGTGGGTTCTCGGTCACTCAATGCAAAATATTTTCCTCCATGAATTTCTCAATCATTAACTTCAAGAATAATAATGGTGATAATAAAGCTACTATATTTCTTCCCAGGGTTTGTCTTGTTTCTTTTTTGTTTGTTTGTTTCCCTAATGTTACAGAGTTTTCCTTCCATAGCTCATGAAGCTTGCCAGATGGTTCCAACAGAAACCCAGGCCTGTGGACACAGTGGATGTTTTCAAAGGTTGTTTCAAGATGCAAAGTCAGACTGTTGGACACCTGGCAACTCCAGCACAATTATATACTCAAACCGTAAGACAGAAAAGCTTCATACAGCTGACTGTGGCATGCTGCTTGGGCCCAGCAGCTGGCCCAGTGTTTGCTGAGGCCAATAGGAATGGATTGAAAAGGGAATTATTAGCAGTAAGCCCTGGGCTTGGAGTGAGCAGCTTTTGATGTGTGAGACATCAGCCTTCATCAAAAGGTTTACTACAGCCCGATGAGGAAGATGAGAAAAAAAATCACAGCTCTTCATCCTGGAGATCCAGAACCGAATCAAATAGCAGGGAGCTACAAGGAGCATCCCATCCCAGCTGTTCTCACCGGGCCTTGAGCCTGAGTGTGGCCAAACCACGTCCAGGGTAGCACACCATGTTGCCCCCAGAAGCTGCTGGCAGTGTTGCTGCATCCTGTCTCCCATGCACTTTTAATCCAGGGCCGAGTCTGTTCTCCATAAATAAATGCTGCTGGACAGAACCAGCATGCATGCAGCAGAGCTGGTACACAGCTGCCACCAAGGGCTACCCACCCCAAAGACCAGCATCACCGACACCTGCATGGTGTCCCATGGCTGCTGTAGCCACTTGCCACACACAGGCGGCTGACAGCAGCAGGGATCCTGCTCCCAGAGTTTTAGGACCAAGGCATTGACATCAGTGTCACCACATTGTCCCCAGAATTATGCTTCCCACAGAGGCTCTGGGGAGGACTCCTCCTTGCTTCTCCTGGCTTCAGGGTGCTGCCCTTGACCTGTGACAGCACAAAGCCATTCTCGGCACTGGCCACATTCCATGGGTGAAGATTTGGCCATGGCCTTGGATAGGGTAGGGGTAACACTGCTCACCCTGAGGCATTAACTGTATGTTTGCTGCAAAGCCTGAAATTTCACTCCAAGCTCCCAGCATTTGAGTGAGTGACCATTTGGTAAAGTGTATTGCCATGAGGCTAATTCACTAGCCGTGGATTTCAGGACCCAGCACTGTGTGCAGGAGACAGTAAAACATGGAAGCAAATACACATGGGACAGAGTGATCCTACCTTCAGAGAGTTGTGCACTGCCCCAGCTCAAGAGCTCATCAGACACGGCTCCCAGCTGCACCTGTCCTCAGTTCAGGGCCCCGGTGCTTCCGAGTCCCATCCCTTGCCTTTCTGGCAGAGGTTGTTCATCAAGGGTAGTGGTCTTATTTTATAAACATGATGACTGAAACTGGGTGTCCACTCACTATTGAAAAACATTTCTCCAGAGAAGAGATACAACCAGAAATAAGCACATGAGAGTGGGCACTGGCCACATTGCTGAAGCCTCTGTCTGGTCTGAGTCTGCACCCTGCTCTCTATCCCAGCTCCCTGGAAAGCAGCACATGATGGCTTGAGTGCTAGGGCCCCTGACATCCAAGCAAGAGACCCACATTCAGACATCTGTTACTCTCACTGTTTTGTCCTTTCAAATAAATAAAAAAAAATACATATTTATTAATTTTACTTGAAAGAGTTACAGAGAAGGGAAGAGACAGAGATCTTCCATCTACTGATTCACTCCCTTCGTGGCCACAATGGCCAGAGTTGGGCCAGTCACAAGCCAAGAGCTCCCTCTGGCTTTCCCACATGGGCACAGGGCCCTAAGGACTTGGGCTATCTACCACTGCCTTCCTATTAGCAGGGAGCTGGATAGGAAGTGAAGCAGCTGGGATTCAAACTGGTGCCCATATGGGACATTGGCACTGAAGGAGGAGGATCAGCATGCTCTGCCACGATGGTGGCCCCTAAATAAATAAAATTTTAAAAATAAAATTCTATTTTGGGTTGGTGAGACCTGCATGGAAGTCTCGGCTCCTTGTTTCTGCCTGAATGGACCCTGTAGCATTTGGGGGGGAGCGAGTATTAAACCAGTGGGTGAGAACTCGATCATTCACTCTCTTCTCTAATAATTAATTTTAAGCTCAATCTAAACATTACCCAAAACACCCTCACAGAAACATCCAGAGTAACACTGATCCAAATATGTGGGCTGAGAGCTCAGCACCTTGGTCAGCTCCCACTCTGACTCAGGAGGATCACCCGCCAGTCTCGGGATGGCTGTGCGACATTGAACTTGTTCTTCCAAGCAGGCTTTGTAATTTAGTCAGGGATTTCCTGAACTAGGAAACATTTTTCCCTCCTTCTCCTCCTTTAATCCTAAATGCTGTTAGGAATCCAATTACCACACTCTTAAACAGATCCAATTTGTCCAGTAGAAGGGACCCAGTGTGATCTCAACTGATGTTCTCCTAATCTGCGGTACTAGGCACTTGACCCAAAAGCTCTCAGCATAGACACCCTGTGCTGACTGCGGACACTCCACAAAGAGCCCTGAGGTTTCAACAGGAGCACCAGGACGCCCTGCTCATGCTATTGTTAAACTGAGTCTCTGCAGGAATGTGGGATGCATTCAGAGAAAGAGGGATGTTCAAGGGGCGGTGGGGAGAGTCTCCCTGGAAGACACCGTGCTCCCCAGGGGATACTGTGTCTCGGGGGCAGTGGGGGGAACCTACCAACATCCAGGCTTTTGTCACAATTGGGAAACTGGGATGGGAGTGTTAGTAGAAAGCCAGGGATGCCACCAAAAATCCTCCCATGCACAGCAGAGAATGATCCAAGTTCAGGTCATGGTCAGTCCCTGGAGCAGGACACAAATGCCTTGCCTCGGATTTGCCACCTGGACAGGGTGGACAGGCTCAGGCACAGGGCAGATGTTTCCATGCGTGCAGCGTGCAGGTTCGTGTCACACAACAGCCATTTCCTCAGTCACTCAACAAAGGAGAGCTGAAGCAACACCCTCACAGGTGTCCTCAGCACACTCACCACGGGCGGGCAGGACAATGCTGCAGGCTCCTGGCTCAGCTCTTTAAATATCCTCCAAGATCAGTCTAGGAACTCCTTTCTGAATGGTTGCCCCTTGTTTTTCCTAAAGGAACCGAATGTGCACTACACTGACCCAAGCCAGTGCAATCCAGACATCCAGCAAAAGGGTGGATGCTCCAGACCAGGGCAAGTGTCTATCATGAGGAAGCCTGAGAGATGCCCCTGGCTGGCTGCCTGGAAGGCACAGAAGCAGCCAGGAGGGGCAGAACCCCTGAGCCACCAGGCAAGGCCATGGGCAGGGATTCTGTGCCCAGAGTCGCCAGGTAAGGCCGTGGACAGAGATTCTGTGCCCAAAGTGGCCCCCAGCAGAAACGTGTTAGGGACTGGTATCAGGCGGAGTGCACAGCGTTCAGACCCCCTGACATCATCTGGGGCACAGGCAGGTTGCAACCAGGACTGGGTCCACCTGTCCGCTGCCACAGATCTTTGCCCAGGCAGCTGAGGGCACACATCTTGTCACGCAGCTTTATTAAATGAGCCCAGCAGCTTCCTCCCATATGCTTCTCTGGGAGAAGAGCCAGCCACGTGTTCTCCATACTGCTGCCTCCTCGACCAAGCCCGCAGAGCTGGCTCCGAGTCGCCATCGCAGCCTCATCTGCACATCCCAGAGGTGTGGGGAGGAAGTGATCGCTTTGCTACAGCCCAGCACAGCCAGACATGGCAGGGACTGGCTGTCCCTGACTTGGACCTCAAGGTTGTCCCAGATCCTAGAGCAGAGAGATTTAGGGCCCCTCTTCATGTCTGCCTCTTCTTGGGGTGCAGGTGTGACCTGCCCTACCACAAGCCAATGACCAAAGGACCTTGAGAAACAGGGGACAATGGGGACCACATACAAACCCTGGGGCAGTGCTCATCACCACCCTACTGTCCCTCATGGATGGACACTGCTCCACAGGCCACCAGAAGAGGTACCAGCCTCATGCCCAGCCCATCACACCCCTGCCTTTCATAGAAGAATCCGCATGCTTCTCTGTGTCAGCCACACTGAGGAAGAAAGAGATGAGCTTGGCCTTCACCCCCACCACCTGCTCCATGCCTAGTGGCCCAGTTCCCAGAGTCTTATCACTGGAGGGTCACCACTGCATGTACACCTCCTGATTACAGTATCTCCATGCCCCACCCCAACACACACAATCATTCAGTTTCTCAAATGAGTACAGATAACTTCTGATAGCAACTCCATTCTAGAACAAATTCTTATCTAAAATTTTATTCCAGGACCAACACTGTAGGGCAGTACATTAAGTTGCAGCCTATAACACCAGCATCGGATATAGGCACCAGTTCGAGTCTCAGCTGCCCTACTCCTGATCCAGCTACTTGCTAGTAAGCTTAAGAAACCAATGAAAGATGGCCCAAGCCTGTGAGCTCCTGCACCCACAAGAGAGGCCTGGAAGAAGCTCCTGACTTGTGGCCTTCTGGGCACTGAAGCAGGAGATGAAGACCTGTCTATATGTAACTGCCTTTCAAATAAATAAATCTTCGAAAAAAAAATAAAACTTTCCTACTTGGTTAGGTCTATCTTTAATAATCATGTCAACTTATGATTACAAGTTTCCTAAGTTTTCAACAGAACTTCTGAAACAAGCAGTAGCTAGTGATTTTAATCTAATCAAAATCGCTCAAATCATTTTGTCTAAATGCAAATGTTTTTAGCTAAAAAGAAAAAACAGAGGACCTACAAATTATTAGAAGGCTAAAAAATCCATCTGGAATTAAGGCAGAAATTCAAACACCGTAAGACAAAGTTTGACCATATAAATCATTTATACAAATGTCTTAGGAGTAGATTATAAATGAGAGAAAACATATGCAAGATGCATAGAACTATGATCCAAAATGTACAGCGAACTCCTCCACATCAGCAAAACAAAATTAGAATAAAAAATAAATAAGACACAAATAAGACATTCACAAAACAAATTAAAATGGT